AGTTCAGAATAGGCGGGAAAAAACCAGGATGGTGTCTCAACAATGTCATTGAGACTCCAAACTCCTAATTTCATGGTCTTTTGTGCTCAGCATGTAAATTCCATTCTCCAGGTTGCAAGTTGCTCCTGTCACCTCTAGGCATTGCATTGGCTTTAGGGGAGGGCAGAAGGCAAAACACCCAAAGCCAAAGTACATACCAACTGAGTCTGCAGAACTGTGGATACTTTCTATTTTAGTCATCACAATTTTCTACAGTTTCTAAAATTTCCACAATGATAAGTATTATGATTTTTTTTTTAAAGAAACTCTGCTTATTGGGGTGGGGAGGAATCATGTTTAGTAGATGTTCAACTACAAGCTCTATGGGAGTAATTCACAGGGTTTCCTGGTGGGCTAAATAATTGCAGAATCCCTTCTATGCCTATAAGGGCAGAAAAATAGCCCTAAAGTTATCCTTGGGAGGGTGCAGAGCAATGTACTGCTCCCTGGTTCTCATACAAAACCCTGTGTGGGGGCCCTGCGTGCTATTCTGTGGGAGCAGAGGTGTTCCTGACCTGAAATGACTTGGGGAAACAGCAGCGTCCCACACAGCCAGGGTTTGTGTGTGAGTGTCTGCCGCTGCTGTTCAACCTCAGATACATATTTTACCCATTTTCTGGAGCTCTGCAGGGTAGAACTTAGCTCAAAATAATTAAGGAGAAATGCAAATCAAGGAATAAGCCTGGTTATAGTTTAATTCACTGAAAGAAGGCAAAAGTAAACAGCAGCATAAATTATATTTCAACAGAGTTGATTTCCTGAAAATATGATTAACATTTAAAAAAAAATGACCTTTGAAATGGCTTGTGTTTCGAACGAGTGTATTCACTCTTTCTGAATGATAATTTTGATCCTGAGGCTTCACTTACCTTTAGTCATTCCTCCCAGAGAAAACTCAGTGACCAGCAAACAAACTCAGTGAGAGCTTCTGCTTGAAGGACCTGAACATTTTTTCTCCCTTTGACTTACAATTCAGGAACCATTTGGAGATGGGCCTCAAATTTCCCAGTGAAGAGAAGCAGAGAGTTGATGTGCAGTGGTCCTGAATTGTGAGAAGGTAAACTGTGTGAAAGAAGAGCCAAAGCCTATATGATTTTCAGACATCACTTTCAACAGTATTTGCGGCCTACTGTGTATAAGGGCCCAAGCTAAAACCTGGGGTATTCGGAGAAAATCTCTCCCACCACAGAAGCCTTGCTCAGTCACATCCGAGAGTCACCCCCATAGCCACTCTCCCCGCTCCCCCAGCTATACTGAACTTTGAGACCTCCTAGGCATCAGGCTATTTTTTACCTTCTCACCTTTACTCTTTTATTTTTTATAGAATCTTGCCCAAAGGACACTGTTATGCCCCAACTCCTTGACTGAGAATCACTAGTTCCTGTATATTTTACTAAGCTTCTCTTATTGTAGTTTATATTTCAAAAAGAACACTCAGCTGGCTCCATTTTGGGGAATTTATTACGTCACCTGGTTTTTCAGATGACCTAATAAATTTATAATTCTTTACAAAGAAAGAGAGAGAGAGAGAGAGAGAGAGAGAGAGAGAGAGAGAGAGAGAGAAGAACACTCTCCCTCTTGATTTTCAAATATGAAACATAACATTACACGTTCTTTTTCAAAGTACATCTGTCCCCCCAACCCCAAATCAAGGCTCACTGAGCACAGCGGGCCTGAATCAGGGTGGGCTCAAATCTTTACTATTGAACCGTGTGGTCACTGCAAAGCCATGATTAAGAGCTTGCCCCCCTCCATCTAAGGCTAGAGAGAACTGAAGAGACCAAGTTGAACTAGCTATGGTTTTATCCCAATTTATACCAGGATTTCGCATAAGAGTGTGAATGCAGGAATTGCTATTACTATATCAAAGCACCTCTGTCTTTGTTTAGACACTAGACTTAGGGCGGTACAGGTAGATCTCTTGCAAAGGATTTCCTATCTCACAGCCCCAGTGCATAAATCTCTGAGCACTGACAATCTCACAGCCATGCACGCCGTATGTGCAGGGACTCAGGGTTAAGACAGCCTGACTACTATTGCTCTAGTCAAGTGATGACTGACCAGTGGCTGAGCACAAATTAGAAACAGAAAAATGCCTCAGGCCGTTCTAAACAAGGAGTTCCCACCAGAGGCCTCCTGATCCTCAGTCGTCCCACCAACTCTGTACTCCCCCAAATCCCCACAGCCTTAAGCAACCATGTTTCCAGGACTCGGATCATACCGTCTGCAATAAGCACTGCAAGATAAGCAGGATGGGCCACACTCAGAGAAGCTCTATTTCTGGGAGAGGACTGGCAGCATCGTTAGGGGGAGGGCTAGCTGGTAAAGGGATAACCAGGTGACAGTACACTAACCCAAGGATAAACTTGACTCTACTAGCATGTTTTAACCATTGAGCACACAGTCGGTCCAGCTATAAGAGCAGTTTCCTCCCACATTCTGCATGAGGCTGGCCATTATGGGGAGTCAGCAGGAGCTGTTCCCTTGGAGCAGGATTTCTGGACAGAGCTAAGAAGGAAACAAAGAATGACTTTTCTTCTCTCCCACCTACACTAGGTCCTTTCTCTGCAGAAGCTAAGAGCTGGTACAGCCTAACCCAGGGGGTCTTTATGGAACATCCTGTTTAATGTTGAAAAACATAATGCCAAACACGTGAAGAGCCAATTCTTTGAGACTGCCTTTGAATCTACTCTTTATTCCTGCTACTTCTTAAATATAACCTAAAGTCCTTACTTAGCCTTTAAGGCCATGTGAACTGATCCCCAGCTATTCTCTAACTATTTTCATAGCATTCTCTCTCTCCTGTTTATTATATTTCACTCCAGCCCTGCTGACCTCCTCACTGGTCCTCTAATTCACCCCCATGCTGCTGCCTCTGGACCTCTACACTTGCTGTCCCTTCTTAATGGGATACTCTCTCCCCTCAGATATCCACATGGCCTTCTCCCTCATTTCACTTAGGTCTTTATTCAAATGTCACCTAATCAGAGCTACTTTCCATCATAGCTAAAATATACAGCAGCCCCTACCTCCTACTATTCTTTATTGTCTTACCCTCATTTATTTTTCTTCCCAGTTCTTACTCCCCAGTTACATATTACATATGTGTTTATTGTCGTCTTTCACCAGAATATAAGCTCTTTGAAAGCAGGGGTTTTGTCGGTTTTGATGACTGTGATTTCCCCAGGGCCTAGAATAGTGCCCAACCCATAGTAAGTACTCAATAAATAGGAAAGACAGTAACAGGATTCTAAGGCCATTGCAAAGGGAGAGGAATTGATGTAGTAGGCCTTTTAACTTTGCAAAGAGAAGCCTAAGCCTGGGCAGGCTGGAAGAGTTTGAGATAGTATGCTCTCCTGCTATTATGAAAAAAAGTCTGTATTGGTAAGAGAGGTTTTTATATGTTGATGTTTTCTAGTTTCCCTACGTAATTTTGAAAAAACAATGTTTGAAGAGATGCCAGAAGCTTACAGAATAAAGGAGAACAGAGAGATTAGTCTATTCAATGTGGCCTGAAGAAAAGATCAGAAGGAACTTTATTTTGTTTCAGGTTGTATGAAGAAATTTTCCTCATTAACCTCAAATTTTCAACAAAAGCTGGGTTAACCACTTCCAAGGACAGCCTTGTGTTAGCACTGCCTTAAGGAATAAAAGGAGCACTGTTTGTGTTATGGGATGTTGGAGACCAAATTGGCCTAGGGAAGCATGAAGAGGTAAGTAGTGGTGAAGTAGTCAGAAGTGATGGAGGAGAATTCAGAAGCAGGAAGTCAGAGGTGTCAACCAGGAGAATGTACCATCTACAGAAATTCGTGAAAATTTGGGCTAAAAAAAATGTGTGTGTGTGTGTGTGTGTGTTTGTGTGTGTGTTTGTGTGTGTGTGTGTGATTAGTATTTGGATATTCAAGGAAAAGGGACTCTGAAATAATGAAGGATTTAGGGACTTTGGGGTTACCCTGCATCACAGAATCCAGATTTGAACCTCGGTGGTTATCTAGTTTTCTAACTTTATTTAACCAAAGAAACATTTTCATCAAATGAATTATTATGAAGAACACAATGTGTAAAACAGATCAAAATGGAATATGGATCTGAATTTATACCCACCTAGCTTTCCCACTGGATGCCACATGGGCCCTTAGGCACCTCTGTGGAATCCCAATACCCCAGTAGCACAACTCTGCACACATTTTAGGAAAATTTTGAGAGATTTCAATATAATATCTAAAAATGACCTAGCACTTTTTTCTAGTAAAAGGAGATTACTTGCTTTGGATAGTTGACTATAACACTGAGCTGAAAGTGTTTAGGTTTTAAAACATACATGTGTAAAATTCTCACATGAAAATTAGTAGTAGCATGACCCACTAAAGCATGATGGCTATTTACCCTGCAGTTTGTCCTGGTCCAGAGGACCAGCTGATAAGTTACAGACCATAAGCTCACGTAACATGTTTTGTTTTATAGACTCTAACCATTTATTTAACAAAATGGAAATTTCTAATATTCAGCATTTTTCTACATTTAAAATTTCAGGGAAAAGAGACCCGTATTCTACAGCATATATCATTACAAAAGAGTTCATTATCAACTTTCTCTTGTGATTAGGATCCATCATCCTTTAGTGAAGTAAGGCGACATTTCTCCTGTGGAAGAAATCAGAGGAGAGGGGTTACCAGCACAGTCGTCCCTCTTTACTTGGATCTGTCCTTCTGAGGATTTCTTTTATCAATAAGACAGGTGGAAGTCCATTTCTCTGCTTTGCTTCCCACGTCAGGTACAAATCCTTTCAAAGCAGGGAAGAACTTGGGTTTTCTTGGTGGTTTTGCTCACGTGATAACCCCCGTGCATGTAGCTATCATTAGTGCAAAAGGCACTTTGAATAATGGATAGCACCCATGGGAAAGCAACGGGCCGCCAACAGAGTTTGAATTATTGTTCTTTCAAACTCTGAAAGCCAGTGATCACTTGTGCCTCGCAGAATCCGGCGGCTCTATCCCCAGGTGCAAAGTACATTTTCCAGGTTTCTCCAGGGCAAAGGCAGGGTGGACACCCTCATTAAACCTGTGCCTAATGATGAAGAGCAACTGTCCACTGTTGGCGTTTATGAATAGAAGCCGCTGGTGGGTGTAGTCCAGCAGAATGCCCACCCTGGCGGGACGCTCAGTCACGTGGACGTCGCTCACAATGCCACTGGAGAAAAATGTGTATCTGAAATGAAACGGGATGGAAAATTAAAAACTTCAGGAATCCTGACGGACCAAGAAAATCACTGGGAGGTCACCAATGTTTCAGTTATTCACTTCAATTCACAACAATGAGTTGCAATAACATTGTCCCAAGTACTTTAAACAGACCCCTTCTTGATCCTAAAATGCATAACTCACACCAACAGATGACCATTTTTAATAATTTTGTTCCTTCTACATTAGGAAGCAGTCCCAGAATAACCAACATATGCCTCCCTTGTGATTTTTCTCAACATTCTAATTCTCTCCCAGCTGCCCACATGTTTTAACTACCGCATTCACAGTATGTCATTCTTTTGAATAAAATTCCTTTGAGGCTGACAAGTATTTTTAAAAGTATTTCCGGTTTGCCTTCCATAAAATGTATTAATTTTACAGTTTAAGGATTTATAATAGCTTACATAAAGGCCTTTAGGAACTTTAAGAAATATTCCATTGTTTTTGCCCAGCTTTAACCTTTGTATAAGCTCCCCTTATTCCAAGCCAAAGCTTTCTTTTTTGACTTAGCAATGATTTTGTGGTCTTGCAGCTAAAGAAATTGCCTTTGGTTTATCTTTTCAATTGAAATAAATTTAATTAAATAAGTATTCACTTGGGCATATCTGTGTGTCCAGCACTTTATTAGGCCTTTGGGGGATGAGGAACCATGGCACACTGTCCTTGACCACCAGCATCCCATACTCTGCTAAACAGAATGGAAAAACTGATGATGACTTAAACACTGGCTAGAGTTGAGACTCTAGCTCAGAGCACAGACTGTCAAGTGCTCTTGACACATCTAACGGTTTTTGCTGTGAGAGGAAAGGTTCAAGGCCAGGTTGGGAAGGAGAAATTGCTGAACAGAAGAAACTAAATTTCTCTGTGCAAAAAAAGTAACACAAATTTGGCGGTTTTGCCTGCTGGTCTTAGAAATGGAAGTGGAGACCTGAAAGTGGGGGAAAGGAAGAAAAGAGAGGAGAAAAAGTTCTGTGGGTGTGGTAGGTCTGAGGGGTGGGAGCAACACCAGGGCAGACTGAGCCCCCAAAATCCGGGTAAGTGACTCTGATTCGGGTATGGCAGAAAAGGCTAAGGACCTTTAAAACCTTGTGATGTCTCTTAAAGTCCCAGAAGCTTGAGTGCAGGTATACTTAGGGAATGGCAAGTAGGCAAATTCATGCAGAGTGAAGCTCGTGTGAAAGGACAAAGGTTCATGGGAATGAGAAGATAAGCAAGACTTTATGATGATAAAAAAAAAAAACTTGTAGAGCAGAAAAGGGTTGCAGGGGGCAATGATGGGGACCAGCAGTGTAGGCTGGGGCTCTTACAGAGGCTTGGGGAGCATAAGGGCTCATACTCAGCCAAAATGAATGGTGAGGCTGGAGAGGTGGAAAAGAGGGAGAAGAGGACCCAAGCAGTGGGGGCAGCAGGAGCTATGATGAGGTGGCAGAATATGCCTGGATGTTGTGGAAAACATTACTTACTCTTGGCCTGTCAGGTTTGGAGAGAACATGTGAATAACTTTGAGGATATTTCATGGGTCGGTAAGTCAGGAGCCAGGAACTAGACCTGCCCTGTTCAATATAGTAACCATTAGCCACATGTGGCCACTTAAAACTAATTAAAATTAAATAAAATTCAAAATCCTGTTGTTCAGTTCTATTAATTGTATTTCAAGTATTCAGTAGCCACATGTAACACCATTTTTCTATTTCTGCAGAATGTTCTACTGCACAGCACTGGTCTAGAGGGTTTTGAATGTCCAAATAAGCCATATCCCTATTATTGAATGGAAGGTCCCTGCTGTCCAGCCCAGGTCAGTCCCTCCCCACCATGGAGGCCAAGGATATAAAGACATTCCTTAAAGACTTGGCTCCACCAGTTCTACAGGGCCTGGAATATGCCCTTCCCCGCTGCTCCATTTCTTCCTAAGCATATCAGTTTCTTCTTCAACTTGAACACTGGCCTAAAACCGAGCCTGTCTGCTGGGGGCATGGCTCCTTTGTCCAGTTATTGCCTGTTCCTCCTTGGAACATAATACAATGCTGTTTTCTAGAGTCTAGAAATTAGTTACCAGAGGCTAGTCAAAGGACCTTTTATAAAGATCAATATCTAGTTTCAGCTCTAAATCTGATTATAAACTCCAGGTTTGAGTGATGTTTAACTTTGGGAAGGGGCTAGGTCCTTAAGCGTTGCATGTTGCTGAATACCAATTAATCATAATTGCCCTGACTTGGTGAACTGTTACTTTAAATAGCTCTTGGAGATGGTGTCCTTATCAACCATGTCAGAGAATCAAACTATCAAGAAGGATTCAGAGAGAAATGTGCAAAATCCCAACCTGTGGGCCTTTCTCTGGAAACTTGCAAGCGCTGAAGGCTTTCTTTTTAAAGCATTACATTTGAATAATATCCCACATTATATGATAATTTGCAATTTCAAAGCACTTCCCTGTACCTGATTTAATGTGATCCTCACAATCCCAAAAAGTAGCAGACCAGGCATTGATTTCCCCTGGCAAGACACATGAGGCACATGCTCAGAGGTGTAAGCCACTTCTGGTAAGTAGCCAATAGGAGGGCAGAACCAGGACTAAAATCAGACACTGGTTCCCAGTCCATTGCTCCTTTTTTCTTTTTAAAAAAAAAAAAAATATTTTATTGATTTTTTACAGAGAGGAAGAGAGAGGAATAGAGAGTTAGAAACATCGATGAGAGAGAATCATCAACCACTGCCTCTTGCACACCCAGTAGGGGGTGTGCCCATAACCAAGGTACATGCCCTTGACTGGAATCGAACCCGGGACCCTTGAGTCCACAAGCCAACGCTCTATCCACTGAGCCAAACCAGTTTCGGCCCATTGCTCCTTTATTAGACCATCCTGTGAGCATATTCGGATCATCATATAGTTGCCCTTTGCTCTCTGAGATGAACACTGGTTAATGGCTTTTTCACTTCAACCAACTAAATAATACTAATGATCTAGACCAGAGGTAAGCAAACTTTTTCTGTAATGGACAGAGAGTAAATATCTTTGGGGGCCATTCAGTCTCTAGTTAACTCTGCCATTGTAGTACAAAAGCAGCCACAGACAATATGTAAACAATGAGCATGACTGTGTGCTAATAAAAGTTTATTCACATAAACAGTGGGTCCTAGTTGGGCTGCAGTTTGCCAATGCTTGATATAGACCATATGGGAAGAGTATTGGGGATCCACCTCTTTCTGTCACTCCTGTTGACTCTTCTCTGTGGAGGGAGCTCTTTTAGCTTTGCCCTGTGGACTCTCCCTACTCTGGTTTGAGTTTAGAGAGAAAAACTGTCCATGCATGGCCCAATAGGCCCTTCCTATTCCCTATCTCTTAATGAGGAGCTTTCCCAGGAGACACACATCCTTCTCTGCTTCTCAGGAATCAACTCTGCCTTGTAGGGCAGGGAAGCTGGCCTGGCCAAGGCTGTGGGTAGGTGTGTCTGTCTGTTAGTAAGGTTCAATATAAAGAAACCTATTGCTCTTGGGTATGAACTACATTCTCTAAAATTGGCTTCCTCAGTAGTAAGAATAATAGTTTAATCTCCATATACTTGACTCTTGTTTTCTTTCTCAGTCGGTTCATAACTTGGGGAGGGGATTGGGATGGCATTTATTAAGCCCTCAGAGTTCTCTAACTAGAAAGCAATTCATGACATTTTGATGAAGAGGGGAGGGGCAGGACTCCAGCTTACCTCTGTGGCTCAGAGCAGTGCATGTACCATGAGGTCTCCCCTTGTCCCAGTGCACCGGCCTGCACAGCCGAGCTGGAGCAGATACCAAGTCGATAAGCTGGGCAGTCCGTGACTGTAGTTTCCCAGTAATGCTGGCCGCAGGCAGGCAGCTCCTCACCCAGCACTGATGGGATTCTGTAGGCAAAATGATTAGGATTTGCCAGCCTTCATCTCATAGACATCAACACTCACACATTCACACCCAGTTAAGCAGGACTCTATCCTTGGGAAATGCCAAGATTTGACTAGATTTCCATTGTTCATTGTGCCCTGAACCTTGACCTGATTGCCACAGAGTTCCCTAAACTCTCAATGTGCATTTGATGTATTCCACTGCCACATACTACTTGCGTGCACTGTACATCTTATCTCTGGAAGAAGCTAGGAACCAGACAATAACTAGAATAATGCAGGACAAAAAGAAATGGCACAATTTACTTTTAAAGAAATTGAGACACTACAAGGGGTGCAGGGAGGCAGATCCAAGAGAGCATTACTTGCAAAGTTTTCTTACAAAATTTGCAAAAAAGTTTCCAAACCTTTTTTAACAATGAGTTCCAGTGTTTGCTGATTTCACTGGGCACAGAGACCAATGAGGTGCTGCTCTTGAACAGCAAGACAGCCGGGGAGGCCAGAGCAGAGCGGAGTGCGGAAACTGAGACTCTGGCCTCTTTGGATTAGTAGTAGGTGTGCCTGAGAGGTTGTTGAAAGGTCTCTTCTTGTTTCACCTCAGCTATTTTTACAAGAGGCACAGGGAAATGAGCCAAAGCACTTTTGGTAACCTTGTTTGCATGAATTGCTCAATTTTGCTTTAAAATGGCTGAGACAGCAAGGAAGCATTTTTAATTTAAGCAGCCTTAAGTCAGCACCTCTCCCTCTCCCCTTTAATAGATGAGAAAATGATTAATACAAGGGAATGTGTTTCACTTTCTCATGTTTTTATCCAACTTCATTTCAGAGAATGAAGCAAAGATCTCTGGAGCAAAGCTTGCCTGCCTGATAACTATGAGATCGTTTTTAGATTAGTAGCAAATAAAATTCTATAAAATATATTACAGTTATCAACAGTTATTATGTATGAACTCTTAACAACCAGTTTATTTCTTTTATTTTTTTTTTGAGAAACTAAACAACAACAACAACAAAAAAGAAAAGCCCAATCTATTTTTTAAATATTTTATTTTTTTAATTCACTCATTTGTATATATTTAGCAGCTATTGTGTTTCTGGGTCCCCATGCTAGATTCTGGGGATTAAAAAATTCAGAATATAAGGCAGCTGCTTGAGGATTATTTCAAGATCAAGTCGCTGACAAGAGACTCCACACATGTTTAGACCCTCTCACAGGTCAAATCAAAGGATGCCAGGGCCAAGAGAAAGCGTGGGCATTTCCAGGAGCCCGTAACACCTGATCTGGGCAGGAGACAGGTGAATAGCAACCTGATAGGAAAGCAGTGCAAGACCCTGTTGGTCAACTCAGTGCTTTATAGGAGTGCTTGCTGGCAGCTCACACTAGCACTGACAGCAGTCTGCGTTTCACAAGGGTTACAGTTTTCAAAAGCCTTTCATGTATATTCTTCTATTTGACCTTTTGGACCTTAAAATAACCATGAGATTGCAGGCAAATTGCAGAGCAGTCTCCCAAATGTGCCCTCAGCTTTTGGCACTTCGATGCTTTTTTTTTTTTTTTTTTTTGTGGGTGATATGAGTGTTGGGGGGGATAGAAGGGGGGTATGGGCAAGAAAGTCTGAAAAGTCCTGCATGTGTCCAGAGCTAGAAACTCAACGAAATGTCATTCTCCTCTACTCCTTTCCAAGTGGATGGATATAAAATCTGGTTTGCTATTGAAAATATTAGAAGAATTAACCTAAATTCTTTTCATTAAACCAAAGGTAATTCCATAAAAACAGCCTAAGTTTTAAACAAACCATCTGTGCACATATTTCCAACAAAAATATTGACACTTGCTCTAAGTTATGAACTCTCTCTGTCACCTTCCCTCTAGTAATGAACCATAACCACACTGTATGGGTGTGCACGCATTTCTTCTATTCAATACCACACAGCCAGGCATATTCATGAAACCAAAAATATGCACAATGAAGTGACACACCCTCAGAACACTCTAATGCATCTTGCACTTTCTTCTACTTACTCTGTCAGCCGTCTTCTCTCAGCAAAGCTGATCACTGTCCCATTTGAGGAAATTTGCAGAGCAGGATGAGCTGTTTCTCTCAACAAGCGAAATCGAGTTCCTATTGCAGTTAAGAAAATATGATCATCACATTGCCACAATGTCAAGTTCCGTCCTTAGGCCAAGTCTCTTATTTCAGGCCTTGGTCTCCCTTTCTCCAGATATCAAAAGACCCCAGTGTCTTTGGGCCCACAGTGAAATTTCATCAGGCATTAGTGGATGCCAGAGGCTGGTTACTTCTGCTAGTATGCTTCCTATGCTAGAAGTGGTTGTGCTATGCAAAGTGTGCTCCGTGCATCTTCATCCCCTGGAAATGAGTTAGAAATGCAGAATCCTAGGCCTCACCCCAGACCTACTAAATCTGAATCTGCGTTTTAACAAGATCCTCATGAGAATCATGTCCACAATAAAGTCTGAAAATGCACTGGTGTAACCTAAAGGAGTGGTTCTAGAGTGAAAGGTATAGGCACCATATTGGGAAGGTAGGGAATTTCATTTCTGGGCAGGCAGACCTCGTGTCATCTTATAAATATCAGGCTGATGTTTATAAATGTATTTACATCACAAATGAGGCCCATATGCAAGTTTTTGCCGACTAAGCATATCACTAAATGTGCCACACTCAATCTTGTGCCATCTCTGGGTCTAGGATAAAATAACAAAATGACTGCCTTTCCATTCCTCAATTCTTTTCACAATGATTGAGAACAGACAAACATTTCTGTTGACATCATTTGGGTATTTTCTACAAACTATCATTCAACAAACATTAATTGGCACAAACAATGTGGTAGGCACAAATAAATAAACAGAGGAATAAGGCTGGAAGCTCATTAATAGAGTTCACAATGCAATATAATAAGACTATCCCCAACCCACACACTCACTACCCACAAATTATTACACACTGTGAGGCAAACAAGAATCATCTGGGGAGATTAAACCCACACGTCAGAGCCTGTCTTCCAATAACCAAGTCAGGATCGCTAGGAATGGGGCTTAGGCATACCAGTATTTTTTAAGCATCCTGACAGACTGCTAATTGGTAGCCAAGGTTGAGACCCTCTAAACCAGAAAAATAAAAGAAACATTTCGACTCTTGACCAATCTTGGGATCTCATGCCAAAAACCGTGCCCTACCAGCAGGTTGGGCCCTTTAAGAGGTTGCCTTCAAGGATGTCTCTTCTGGGTAGTGGGAGGGAAGGAAGGAGAATGCTTGGAGATATGACACTGTGTGCAAAGGAGAAGATACCTCTGGTGGAAATGAGGGCGGCTTCACTCTGTTCACTTGTTCCAAATGTATTGATGGCTCTCACATAGAAGAAGTAGTTATCATTGGGCTGGAGGTTAACCTTCAACTGGAGTCCTTTAATTCCAGAGTAAGATCTAAGTACAAAGGGAGAATAATAATTTTAAATATAATTCCATTGCTAAACAACTCATCATATTTTGATCCTATCGTAAATGAACATCTTTTATTAACAACAAATAACTTCTTTTTTTCTCTTTTAATGACCACTGGCATTAGCAAGCAAGATTATATAAGATGGTTATTATTCACTGAGATTACTTTATCAAATAATTTGTACCTTTGTCAACTTTTGTCCAACAGATGGCTTTCAAAATGCTCTTTGGAATAAAATCAGACAAACTGCTTAAAAAAATTTTTTTTCCCCCCCAGAAAAGTGACTATCTATTAATGAATCTCCAAGAATATATTATTTTTTTAAATCAATTTTTGGTTCAGAGGGCACTTTTGGATGAAAATTATGTTGTTACAATACAAAGGACCCTACTTATCTCATTCACAGATCTGGAATTGTAAAAACTTCAGGTGAGTGATGATTTTGTACACGGCCATTATGCTAAAGTTATAGAAACTGAGATCTCTAAAGAAGACAATATATTGTTTAAAAAGTTATCTTTATTGTTGAAAGTATCTCGGATACTTTCCCCTTTGTGTGTGTGTGTTTTTTTTCCATTGCCTCCCTGACTCCACCCCTTCCAGGCCTTCACCACACTAAAACAATATTTTTTTAAGGCAAGTTAATCCTAGCAAGAAGAGAATTCTAATTGTCATACAAAATCCCCCAAACTGCAATTCCTAAATCTCTCATCTACATGGAAAGAAAGTGATGGTAGTCGTATCTGATTGGCAGCAGGCTTGGCAAGTACACTGTAACAGCCCAGTCATTTAAACATTAATGGACTTGCTGGATTTGAAGATGGAACTCTCGGAAGCTTCCAAGTAGCTAAAATAGTTTTGTGCCTTTTTCCCATTCTCTTTAATCTGCTCTATATCATTGCCTAGAGCATCCTATATATAAAGAGGTAATATGCAAATTAGCCCTCACGCCCTCACAAGATGGCTGCCTACAACCAGGTCAGCAGGGAGGTTAGTGAGGGATGACCAAACGACTGAACAAGCAGGCTGTGTGGAGCAACCAGGCTGGCAGGGGGGACTGTGAAGGGCAACCAGGACGTGTGGGGGGAGGGCAGTTGGGGGCAACCAGACTGGCAGAGGGAGGCAGTTGAGGGTAACCAGGCCAGCAGGAAGGGGGACGTTGAGGGTGACCAGACCAGCAGAGGTGTAGGGGGAATTAAGGGTGACTAGGCAGGCAGGAGGGGCAGTAAGGGGTAACTAGGCCAGCAGGGGGGTGCAATTAAGATTGACCAGGTTGGCAGGGAAAGAACAGTTGGAGGAAACCTAGATTGCAGGGGGAGCAGTTAGGGGTGATCAGGCCATCACACAGAGGCAGTGAGGGGCAATCAGGCTAGCAGGGTGGGGGTAGTTAGGGGCGACCAGGCAGGCAGGAAGGTGAGCGATTAGAAGCCAGCAGTTCAGGATTATGAGAGAAATGTTTGACTGCTGGTTTAGGCCTGATCCCCAGGACAGTCAGCCATCCCTCAAGGGGTCCCGGGTTAGAGAGGGTACAGGCTGGGCTGAGGACCCCCAGCCCCCAGTGCATGAATTTCATGCACTGGGCTTCTAGTTTATAAATAAAGCACAAAAATGCTCTTTCTTCTGGAGTGGTGAAGGCAGGGTTGGGGGTAGGGGCAGGCTGGGAGAGGACAATGGGGGAGAAGGGGACATATGTAATACTTTCAACAATAATTTTTTTAAAGAAAAGAAAACTACAATATAATAATTTTTATGTTCATTCTCAGAAGGATAGGTTTGTTTGTTTTTTATCTGTTTGCTTTCTTTGTTCTTATATTATTTTCTGTTTGTTTTGTTATTAATGAGCATACCACAAAAGGTTTATTCATCCACAGGTAGCTCCCCCCCGCCCTCAGGTTATTTCTACCTCTGTTGATTTATTTCACTTCTCACTACCTACCTTAGAGAATAATATGAAAAACCAGGAAAAATAAAAAGTATTATCGACTCAAAAAACAAATTAATATGGAAATTTTTAAGAGCATAAAATCTCTATAGAATAACAACTCCCAACCACCACCATTTCTTAAAGCACAAAAACTCCATTATGTTCCTCAGAAGGAGAAGGGGAAGGGAGCAACCTTGGTCTATTTGTATATCTTCTATTTAGTGCCCTTTGCTGGAAAAGGTCAGTATAAACCCCTCAAATGTTATCGGTTGTTATTTCAGAATCTACCACCTGACCAGAACCTTTGGGAGTGTACTATCTTTAGATGTGCTGAGAATGGATCCATGCAATTGAGCCTCATGTCCAATGACAACTAATTATGTTTCAGTTAATTAATGAAAAATGTCCTAAGACTGAGAATTTAATTCCCAACTATTATAATATCCAGAATATTATTCAGGGGTAGCTGTATTGCTTATTTTATTTGAACTGATGACAGAAGAGATGTTTTAAATATACATTAATTATAGTAAGCAATAAAATTATTGTCTCAAGCACTTTGGGATCTGAACTGAATTTCAGACTTCATCCACTCATTAAGTAAATATTTATTGATTACTTACTATGTGCCTAGGCCCTGTCTCTGCCAGAGGCAGAAGTGGCAAAGATAAATGAGGAAATTTCATGTCTAGAAATGAGATAGAATATACTGACTTCATTTTGTAACAATGTGGTTATTAAATGCCAAGGATGCTGTTTTGGGGGGTAAGTGTTTGCTCTTAACTTTTATAAAGTTGAATATATATATTCAATTGTATGCTATGTCTTATCACTTACTTAAAGACTAAAGGTTTACAAGGTACTTAAGCCAACTATAGGATCAGATCCTGCTTTCAGTGACTGAAAGCCGGTCATGCATACTTGAAATATATGTACAATGCCCTCATTGCATATGTGAAATAGAAGCACTGGGCTTGAAAATGAAAGCAATACAAAATGTGGTAGTGTTTTATTGTCTATAAGTTGCCATCATATACTCAAGAACCAAGAACAAAGCAAAACAGCTTAAATACAAATGGCTCGTTTCCAAGTCCATTTATTTTGTCTGATTTCACTTACATGTCACAAAAGTCTTTCATGTCAGCTGTCCCTGCTTTTTAGCCGAATAAACACTTCAAAATTTTTTTGAATTTAAAAACTGGAGAGTGGTACCCTCCCATAGAGTATAATTTTTTTTTTACTTTAAAAGCAAACACTTGTTATAATTACAACCAAATTCACATGACTTATAATGAGCTTGATGTTTACAGAATTAAAATTCACAGCATATCCTGGATAAGGTAAGTGATCAGACAGCTGATGAAACCACAAGTTGTTGGTGCTTGCATATGAAGGGATTTTAGCCTTATCAGTAATATGACTGAACTGTTAGAAGTCTAGAGCCTATAATAAAATCAAAAGACAAGAAGAAATATAATTCAATTGGTCTCACTTTGGGTCATAAGTGTGGAATTCTCCCTACAAGTTCCATAGTGTGGTGCAAAAGAATGTCTTTATATGTGTAGTTTCCAGGACAAGGAAGCATCTAGAAACCCAGAGTCATCAGCAAATTAGCTGATTGCGGGTGGAGATTAGGCACGTTGTGGAGTCCAACCACAGAGCTCTGTGCCTAGCAAGTCTTCAAAGGACTCTCAGCTCTCTCCATTGGGAGGACAAAGAACATTTGTTAAACTCCAATGCTGTGAATCAGAGAGAAACAATTTAAATAAGAGACCAACCTACTGTCTTCTGAATGAATCTGACCTCCTCTTGTGTTTGTTTGTTTGTTTGTTTGTTTGCAGAAGGCAAATGAATAGAAACTAGGAAGAAGCTGATATCTGCCCAATATAATAAATACCTTTCTAACTGGAGTCCTTTCATTCTTTAGTTTTTGCAAGGAATGATCAAAAAGTTTGCCACAACTAAATATGGACAATGGAGCAAGAATCATTTTACTTGGGAATTAAAAAGGATCTTTATGAAGTAAAAAATTAGAGAACTAATGCTTAATGGGAAAATACTGAAAGCATTCCCATTGAGTCGGAGAAACAGACATGAGGTTAAAACATATTTTGGAGGCAGGAGGTAAAATAGTTGCCATTTGAAAATTAAATGATTTCTTTTAATCTAGAAAACTCAAGAAAATCACCTGAAAAAGGCTTACATAAGAAAATTCAGTAAGATGTCTAGTTGTGAAACTAACATAAGAAATCATAAGAAACTCTATAGGCCAGAAAAAAAAAAAATGACATGAAGTATTAAAAGTTATGGAAAGCAAAAATCCGAGAGACCAAGATTACTGTATCCAGCAAGGCTATCATTCAAAATAGCCGGTCAAATAAAGAGCTACCCAGACAAAAAAAAAAAAAAAAAAAAAAAAAAAAAAAAAAAAAAAGTCTAAAGGAGTTTATCACCACCAAGCCAGCATTACAAGAAATGCTAAAGGGATTGTTAGAAGAAACAGAGAGAAACCTAGCCATACAGAATTAAAATGGCTTAAAAAAAAAGTATTTCTCAATAATAACCCTAAATATAAATGAATTAAATGCTCCAATCAATCAAAAGCTGTAGGGTAACTGAATACAAAAACATGACCCAACTGTATGCTGTGTACAAGAGACCCATATCAAATGGTCTCAGGATGAAAGTGAAGAGACGGAAAAAATTTTTCCATGCAAATGGAAAAGAAAAAGAAAGAAAGTTGGAGTAGCAATACTCATATCCAACAAAATAGCATCATGCTAAGCAAAATAACCCAGTTGGAGAAAGATAAATATCATATGATCTCACTCATTTGTGGAATATAATAAACAACATAAACTGATAAACAAAAATAGAGCCAGAGAGGGGGGGGGGATATGTTAGAATATAATAGAAGTAATTCTATTATTTGTAGATTTTTAATATTTCCTACAACTTTTGTGATATCATACTATGTTAGTACAGTTTTGGTAATATTATTATACTTAAAATCCTTTTATTCTTGAAATATTAATGTTTGTTGCATGTAATAATATT